CTAGATAACGAGCAATGTTTTTATTATTAGAGATAACAAAAAAAAATACTTGCCCAAAAAAAATAGCTTGAGTCCAAATAATTCAAATTGATAACATGAATTTTAAATTACTATAACCTAATAGTTTGTGGGTAAGTTTTACCATTAAATTTGCAATAGACTTAATACCATTTACAACCAAGATTCAATCACAAATGGAAACATCTCTTTAAAATTTCTCAACCTATGTGCGGTAGTTAGAAATAAATCTGCATGTGTTGTTACATTTAAGTTGTAACTGCTTGCAAACCTTTATTTGAAAAAAAAAGAGAGCATTTTTTTTAAGTGTTGGTTAGTTCTTATAGATCTAAGTATCTGCACTTTGTAATTAATAAGTATTATGGGGTTAGCATTTTGCCTTGTTTTCCAGTCTCCTTATAAATAACCCAAAAAGTAAATAACAGGAAGATGGGATTTTTCACATTCCATCATGCATGGCATCTTCGTTTAAGCATTTAATTGGAAGCTTAATTAATTAGCTATCATCGCAAACATATTTATACTCACGTTTATGTATTCTCAACAAAATACGACTAAATGCTTAACTATCATATACATGGAGGGATATTTTGTTTGTCAAAAGTCTCATATCTATGTACGTAATTAATTACTGATAAAATTTGAAGTCAATCCAAAAAAAATAATATTTTGTGCATGTGAAAATATTTATTATAGATAGGATATTAATAAATTAGTGAAACTTCAAACTTTTTTTATGGTATTGAAATGTCAAGCTTTTTTTTGTTCAATGGTAGAGAAATGTCAAACTTTACCATGTCAAAAAAGAAAAAAAGAAAAGAAAAGAAAAGAAAGAAATGTCAAATTTTAAAACTGTTAGATCTTAGTAAATGCCTAAATGAACATTATATGTATTGCTTATTATTTCATGAAAAAACTCAAAAATATTTTTATCAGATACGTCATTAAGAGATCAGAGAATATAAAATTAATTTACCTGTGTTTTTTTTTTTTAAAAAAAAGGGACCACTTCCAACCTCCTAGTCATTAAATCAACCAGATCAATGTGGCATTAATTGGTACTTTGCGTGGGTTTGTTGATTATCATAACGAATTCATGCTAATTAATTAACATTAATTCTGGGTGGTTTCTCCGACCTTTTGAAGTCGTAGCATTGATGATAAACAAAAATTGTCGGCATTATATAATTATATTTTCACAGTGTATATATATTAATCTATCACTACAGTCCATAGAACACAATTATTTGGGCAAGAGAGAATATTTCTTTTTCCTTTTTCTTTTTGAATTATTATTTCTTTCTTTCTTTAGCACAAGTCAACTTCTAGAAAAAAGTTTATATAAAAGTTCCGTAGAAGTGGGGAGAGTACATGAAGAGTACTATCTCTTTCGTGTGTGTATATATATATAATCAAATGAACTTTCCTTAAAAAAAAAAATGAATATATATAGATTATTAGTTTGAATATTTGTGACACAAATCCTCACCTGGCACACCTTTTTTCGTTCTTGTTCTAAAATGCAATAGCAATATTATTACATTTTCTTAATATAGTGTAAAAAATGCGCTAACATCCGTGGAGATAATTAAGCTTTTTATGAAAATACGAGGCAGAGCTAAAGAGGCCTGATTTTCCAGGAGAGAATTACAATTGTTACCTATTACTAGGAAGTGGTGTTTTTATTTCTCGAAAATTGGCTATGTTTATTTTCTAGAAACTAGTTTTTAAGTTTGCATCGTTAGGTTTTTTTTTTTATTCTAAAAATATTTCTTTGTGAAAAATTATGGAAATATTTTTTCTAACTACAAATTTTTCAAAATAGAAAATAACAACCGTGTTTTGGTTTACATTTTACAAAAAATAAATATATAAAACATCAGATGAATCAAATAAGACTTTTATTTTTCATTATGGAGAATGTGAAAATTAACTATTTTGATGTTTATCTGATAATTAGAGAATCAGAAAACATGCCTTGGAAACAATTTTATTTTCAATTAATGAACTCGATTTTTTTAGTTTTCTGTTTTCTAAGAATCTATTTTCAGAAAACTGGAAAATTTTCCCACAAGAAAACGCATGTTTTTCTTTGGGATTTCTCTATATTTTGCAAGCAGAATACACATTCCCAACAAGTACGTACGCTCCTACTGCAGGAAATTAAACACTTTCTGCAGCCAGATAAGAAAAGTTCTATTAATTTGAGCCTCATTTTTTTATCCACGCCATGGACTATGACCCTTGATTTCGATCATTCCAAAGCTACAGAATTTGTAGTCCCTAGTTCAGAACAACAGCAGCAACACTTGGCAAAACTTATAGCTAGTCTTAGCATTACTAAGAAATATATATATATAGACTGAAGGAAAGATATAAAATTAGTACGTCGGGCATACATAACAGATATAATAATGTAATGTTGCAAAAAAAGAAAAAAATTCTGCGATCAAAATTGTGTGTTATTATTCATTGAAAAGAGAAAATTATTTGAAAGCAAAAAAAAAAAACAAAAGAAAAAAAAATAAAAGGGACCACTTACAAATTCCAAATAATCATTCTGAGACGTCTTTCTAAGTCTAATTGTTTGAGATTTTTTTTTTAATTCAATCTGGAGCTAATGGTTGAATTTTTCGTTTTCTATCAAATAATTGGTTGACTAACATGAATCATACAAGTTGTATAACCTATAACAAACACTAGTAGGTGGTTTCTCGAAACTCGGAAGGCCAAGCAATGTTATATAATACATAAAACTATTATTAAACACAATTTAGGTAAGAGGTATTTTGTTATTTCGATTTTCTGTGAAATTTGTTGCTTAATTGATATTTATATGTTTCCTTTAAAAAAAAAAAATCTCAAAGTATTTGTCCAAAAACTCTTCGAACCAAAAACCTTCATATTTGGATTGTTTTGTCTTTCATGTTTAATGTGTATTATATTAATCATCTAAAAAAAATCATTTCGATCTTCAAAGAAAAATGTGTTGAGAGAATGTTAAAAGTAGCAAACCAAATTTGTGGTCAGCAAACTTAGATTTGTTTTGGCTCTAAGAGTTTGGTGAGTTTTTTTTTTTTTTTCCAACCAAAAATCAAAATGCAAAGTTGGTTGTGGATCTTCATGTATTTTATGTCAAAAACTCAAAGGCTATTTTTTTTTTTAGTTGCTTCATTTTAGAGTTTTTGTAGTTTTTTCTTCATACAAACAATAACTTTTATCCTAATAATTCTTTTAATTAAATATCTTTGGTTTCTAACCATCACAAATCTTACAACTACAGCCATAACCCAACCTCTAAGTCAAACAAACCCTTAGAAATTGGGTTGTGGCTTTGTAATGATGATCAGAAACAAAAGATGTTTTGTTAAAAAAGCTTTTACTATAAAAGTTAAAGATTTAGAAAAACTTGAAAATCTCTAAAATGGACCCTCTGAAAAAAATGCTGCTTTTCAAGTTTTTGACATGGAATCAGCATAGATCTCGCATCTAGTTTTTGTTTTAACAAAAATAACTTTTTTATATATAGAAAAAAGTCATTCTATTGATATTAATGATAATAATTGGCCATTATTATTTTGCAAAAGACTAAAAAAAAAACAAATATGAATATTGAATAAAAACATATTCAATAACTAAAACAACAACTATTAAAACCTCGAGTAACATCATTAAATGATTTGAAGGACTTTTCGATGAGTTTATAAAACGTATCACTTTCAAACCGTCCACAAATGAACTCTTTTTTATGTGTTTTAATCCCATAAATCTTTTACTGTCAATAATCAATGGAAAAACAGACCACACTACTAGCTCCATCGATAAAAGAATTAAGATTACGATCAGATACCGAAGCCTTTCTATAACAAGAGTTCTAACAATTTCACAACTTCAAAATCCAAACATAATTGTAAATTTTTTGTTCATTCGACCATGGATCTTTGAACAAACCTGCAAACCCAAATAAAAAACGATCCTTGAACAAGCCTATAGACACAAATAAAAAAAAAACAAACCAATCTAAAGTCATAATTACTTGTACTCTTGAAAACATTAGACATGGGATTATTAAAGAAAAAGAGAAAAAAGAGCCACGTGACAGGCACAGGCAGCAAGTTAAAAAGAAGAATTTTTTAGAGAGGGTTTGGGACGAAGGGTGAGAGAAAGAGAGCCGCTAGAATTTCACTCAAACAAGATTAGTTGGTTTTTTGACAGAAAAGAAACAACAAAAAATAAGAACTCACATCACCATTTGAACCAGAAGGGTACTTAGAACTTTTCAAATTTAGTTTTCATGGGATGTTGCTATTCAATGAATTATTTTTCTTGTTTTCAACCCAATATTATGAAACTAGAACAGTATTTGCAATCATGGAAATGTATAAATATAGAATACATTGGGTCATTCCTCTTATTTATTTCCTCTTTCCCCCTTCTTGTCTCTCTTTCTCTCATTAAAAATGAATTGCTATATTATGAAGAAATGAAGCGTTAATATCATCATTGATGTATGGCTGCAATAAAATCATAGTTTGCCTGTTTTCAAAAAAAAATAATAATAATAATAAATTTTCGTTTCACGAATAAAGAAAGCAGAGCATTGTGCAGTCCTATTCTGCAACCACTTAATTCCTTTTCCCAGCCTTGCTATGGCTACGCAGTGAAGTCAAGACAAAGCGAGCATCTTTAAGTCATGAATTCATACTCCAATGCATTAGAAGAATCAATACAGAGTCTCTTACATCCACAATGGTACGACATGGCAAAGCCACTAAGTTATTACTGCTTATATCAGTCCAACATAAACACAAGGGGAAGAAAGTCCAACATAAACACAAAGGGGAGAGAGGCGGACTACTCTCCAACACTTCAACCATCAAGTTGGTTATTTAACTAGTCTTACGTGGATTTGAGCAGAACTCAGGCTATCAGGAACAGATAAAGGACCGAAGAGATGCTTTTCCACCATAGAAACAGTGAGACTAGGTTGAGTTTACAAGGACAAATAATGGTCTGTCTCCTAGGCGTTCGCGTCCCTGAAAACAGAGAAAGCACACCAGTAGTGCATTGATGAATAAAAACGTATCCTTAAGTTTAGCTAGTAACAAAAGTAAGAGAACTAAAGCGATACCGTGGAATCTATACAGAACTCAGCAGCTGAAGCCTCCAAGATTGGAAGGTTTTATTGTGGGAAATTCAAATTAAGTACATACAAAGTTCCTTCCAAAGTAGGTTCAATTCTACTTGAATCAAACGCTTCAAGCAAGTTGATTTCTAGTAGCATTGACCAGAATTTATTTTCTAATAGTGATATAAAAGTTGGTCAGCATTATAAAACTATTTGACTTTAGATTACAAAACTCATTCTTTAAAAAGTTTTCCTTCTATGATGAGGTAACGAAAACCAAATTGCAAGCAAATAAAAGCTTCTGGGAGATAAAGAACAGGGTTCGTGATGGACTATAGGACCACTAAAGTTCCTGTTCAACACGTCTGTTTTTATTTTTATTTTTTAAAAATGATTAAACATCAATAAAATAAATGAAGCAATTCGTATCCTTCCAATTGTTGTTTTTTTTTTCCTTTTTCTTTTTTCTTTTACCAGACCATTATGGATTTACAGGATGAAAGCAGCGTCTATATCAATGCCAATTTACCAAAGAGCTTGTGGCCCGATGGTAGTGGTCTCTTGCAACAAGAGGTCACAGGTTCAAATCCTAGCAGACTAGTTCTACTAAGAGCCTTAGGTGCGTGAGTTGAGAAATAAATAAATGCCAATTTTCTAGACATAAAAAAGAAAACATGTTTCATTTAGCATTTCCATGGAGTGACTCCACCCAGATTTTTCATACTTCTGGCTCCAACAACGCTAAAATCAATGCTCAGAACCCAGAATCTAGATTGCACCTTTTTTTTAAAAAAAAAAAGGGCTAGATAGCACTTTGAAAAACATTGAAATGGCTCGAATTACATGTGCTGTACATGCAGTGGATCATTAGTTTTCAAATTGCTCAGGACAGAAAAAAACCAGTGTCATATTGAAAACAAAACTGAAATGAGAGGAAAAATTAATGCATATCAAACTCAATGGCAATAGCTCATATTATTGATGAAAATGTAGTGTGGATTATAGAATATACCTTCAGCCCTAACAATTCAATAACACAGGCACACTCGACAACATGTACCCCAACACGCTCTGCAATAAAGAACGAACATTATTTGAAAATGCATAAAGGTGTAACATCAAGTAGATGATGAGTGAGCAAAAGATGATTTCCTAACCAGCAATGGACTATGCATACAAGACAAACTATAAGCATGTAGGCAGACCAGACTGAAATCACCAACATGTCCTATTAAACCAAAGAAAAAATTCCAATGACCTCTGTATAGGAATACCCATGTTTCTCAATATGAGTAAAAAATCCTAGAGCCTACTCTGCCATGTGAGCCCAACCCTCGATGTAAAGTATTCAATCACCCAAGTTATGCTTTGTGATATTCATCCACACCCCTAACAATGAGGGGATGAACCAACTGACTGGCAAGATTAGCAATTGATCCAAAAGTTATTTAAGTTATGAAACACTACCAAGTAGTTTCACTGCAGCACATAAGGTCCCACCAGTTGCAATGAGATCATCAATTACCAATGCGCGTTCTCCTGCTTCTACTGCACCCACATGCATCTCCATTATGTCTGTTCCATATTCCAAAGAGTACTCTTCGGAAATAACCTTCCCTGATAAAACCAAGAAACACAAACCATTCAGAGAACTTCAAATTGTTTTGACTAATTGAAACTAATTCCCTTGACACCAGATATTAGGTAATGATTGCAAGTGATCTACGAATTCAATTCTCAAAGCTGGAAAATAAACTAAAAATTATGTTCTGGAGTATCTAGAAAACCATAAAAGCATGCAGTTCATATGGAAGTGGGAAAATTCAACACAAAGCGATTTTACCAGGCAACTTATTGGGTTTCCTCATGGGTACAAATTTTGCTCCAATTGCCAATGCAATGGGCGGGCCAAATATAAAACCCCTTGCTTCAACACCTGCAATATGTCATCAAGGTTAGAATATAAAAATCACGACTACTTTTACCAAGAATAAAAGAAAATCTGTCATTAATACGTCACGGTGAAAACTAATAAGATGAATCAATTAAACAATGAATTTTCATAACTATCATGCAACCTTTCATAGTTATTAGTATCTAATTTATCTGATACTTCATAAACGTCCATCCAACCTTATTTCTGACTGTTCCAGCTATGGAAGTTCCAAAATAACACCAGTTTTCACAGAGAAGCCAAGTTCCCTCGCCAGATTTGCATGCTTTTAGAGTATTAACCAAAGGCATATCACATGCATGCTTCGCAGGTGAATATATTTCAAAAGTATTTGCCAGCATGGCGGTCATATGAGTCAGGAACAAGCTACACTCTATTTCTAGAGAAACACTTGTTGATATCCCCAGTGAAAAGATATACTGGACAACATTTCAACACTATTGGTAAAGTCTCACCAAGATCACTATCATCTTTCCTGTAGAAAGCAAGCCCTTGCAAAATTTAAAGACTTGTGATCTTTATTCAAGGGAAATACGCCTATTGAAATCCTTCTATTAGCAGATAGATAACAGTTGAATTGCTGGCACACTTGTATCAGCAGCCTAACATTATTCATGGAAAATCTAAAATCATTGCCCTAGTGTTTTTAGTTTAAAATTTTTTTCCTTTTTTTTTTTTTTTTGAGCCATGTTTTTACAGCATTCCTCAAAATTATTGTTAATGATAAGCAATGACAATTCACAAAAGTAGACTTATTTCATAAATAGTTTGATTCCTGCTCCACCTACGTTACTATGTGTACAAGTCACTATTATTCAAGAGTTCCTTTATCACTCACATTTGGATGAATTGAATAATTCATTAGTCCATTTTCAAACTTGTAGGCGAACAGACATTAATAAAATAAATAGACTGTAAAAAAAGGACTTCTTTGAATCCAAGTAAACATCATAAAATCTCAGTGGAGGTCAATTATCATTAAAGGCGTGTGATTATGCGCAAAACTAGATTGGCAATTTACAGTAAACAATAGTAAAAGAGTACCTGCAACAACAGAGATGTTTTTATCTCTGTATCTCTCAACAAACAAATCAATAGTGTCCTTAAACGCTTTTGTATCAAGAAGCAACGTTGTTATATCCTGAAACATAATCCCTGCCCTCAAAAGAATAAAGGCCAAACATAAATCTATCAACAATACAAAAAGTAAATAAAGGACAGAGTTAAAGTAAAAAGCATTTTTGTAATTACCTGGTTTAGGGAAGTCAGGGATGACCCTGATAGCAGAGGAAATTCTGGCTATACGAGGATCTTGCTGCTCTTCTGCTGTGGCCATTTCTATACTTTGCTTCCACTGCGACTCGCTCACTACTCAATAAGAACAAGTCGGATTTTTAGGCTAACTTCAAAGAGAAATAAACTTAGAAGAAGCCGCAAATAAGCGGCTTACCAGTAGGTCTTTCTTTTCCTTTTCCGTTACCAAACTGTCCTCTGCTTTCAGTATCTCGAATAATTGCGTTTTAGACCAATAAGATTAATCCTTCAATTTTTTATATTTAGATAAAAAAAAAAACTTTTACTATATTAATTATTAGTAATGCTATCGTAAAAGTATGTCGGACTAGAAATTACCAGAGCAGTCCTTAATAAAAGAACAGAAAATACTACTCCAAAGAAAGGAAATTACCAGAACAGGTAAGGCGATCGGGGGCAGTTCGGTAATTCTGGAAGAAATTTAAGGGTAACTGACCACCAGTGGAGGCTGTGATCTGTCGTTTTAGAAACGGCGGTCGACGTCGATGAAAGTTTGGCAATGGAGGAAAGACGGAATTTGAACAACAACGAAGAAGACTTCTTTGCATCATTTGTTGACTCGCAATAAAACTGCAGCAGAGAGCGTTCCTCAATAAATGGGTTTTGTTTCGAGCGAGGGTAATTCGGTCCGGGCAGTATTGTATCGGATGGATCCAATCTTGTCAATTTGGAGACTGAAGACGATGTCGTCCCACACCAAAAGAACAAAGCATGGATCATGCTGACGTCTAGTCTAGTACCAGTATTATTGTCACACCAACCCCACACCAGTTAAAATGATTGTTGTCTACCTTTCAACCACACTTTAATCTATCGATGGATCTGTCGTATAGTGAATTTCTTGTGCTCGTAAAAAGTCATGGTTTCAATTTTTTCAAAAATTATTTATTCTTTAGAGTTATTTGATTTAAAGAAAATATATTATTAAAAAAGAAAAAAGAATGGTCTTTTACTTTTATAATTGTATTGAATTCAATTTAATTCGTGGTGGTGATGATATGATTTTTTTCCTACCTCACTGATCCCTCAATTCTCTACCATTGGATCATTTCAATGAAAAAAAAAAAACCATACTTTCACCTATTTAGTTACTAGATGTCAATAAAATAATGAGTGGCTTATTCTAAGTGGCTAATCAAATGAATAGAAAATTGAAATAATTCGTAATGAAGGCATCCTGACATCAGATTGAACCTTGACCCCACTCCTCAAGACCAAAGGAAGACAATACGAATCTTGGTGCTAAGTGAATATTTTCCACGCTGATATTTTCCACACTAAAGTGTATCCCTAATTATGTCAAACATGAAGAACTAAGGCAGGATTGAAAATCGTCTTCTGTAAGGATAAGGGGGAAAAAAATTAAAAACCCGAATGGCCCCTGGGCTGATATTCGGAATCGTTATTTTTAGTCGTATATATATCCATCGAAGCATTACCCGTATCTACTGGATAGCCCTTTTTTGAAAACAGGCTGTATTTGGACCGTTGGAAATTCAAGTTCATGATAAATGGGTATGTCCCACGATTTAAATAGTGCACTAAATTAAAGATCAAAAGCCCATGGTCTTTCATCAAAGGGCCTGAATCTGGCCGTCCTATATATCCCGTTTTCCATTCCTAACTTGTTATTTGCTGTTAATGACGGAAAGTAAGAAATTATTCATAGGTACTGTATTCCGGTTTCTTATAAAAATGTGAGATAAATGATTTTTTTATAATATATCTAAAGCTTTTTTTTTTAAAAAAAAAAAAGTAATACAATTCCTAACATACCTAATAATTTTTCAATCCAAAGCACAGCGAGAAAGTTACCTTCCTTTTCCTCCCTGGATCCTTTGAATTTTAAAAACCCGGTGTGTCACTGTAGGTTAAGTGGCCAATCCAACAAATTGCACAATGGCCACAAGAGCCCACTTTCGAATTAAGGCGGGCCTGCACTCAAATGGGGTAAGGATAGGTAAATTTCAAGTGTATTTACACGTAGTTGGTTTCAGCATTCGTGAACAACTTCAGCAGTAACTATTGCAAACATTTATCGACATGAATAATAAAGAAAATTATCTTAAAACAAGCATGTAGACAATTTTAGGATTCCAACAAGACCTGACCTGCAGTTAAAGCCCTGCTGTAACCATCCTGAAATCCATATTCTACCTGAAAGAATTTACTGTACATGTAAAAATAAAATTCTATGTGACAGAGGGAAACAACTGAAAAAGGCAAAGTACGATTCATAGAGCCTAGCATGCAAATCTCACAGCCATAGTGGTGCACCCAACTGAATTTTAAGCACATAAACCGCATGAACCTATTCTTTTAAAATCCTTTCAGTCGCAATCCCATAGTTTACCATAGATAATACCAAATAGAGATATCATGGGGGCTAGTCTTGCATAACAAGTATATAACACTTAATGTTTAATAAACATTAACTTCCAAATCTTGGCATTCCCTGTTAAAAAGAAAACACACCACCAAGAGGATTGACACAGCGAGAGGTTAGCCTAAATTTTTGAATTTATGATACCTTGAAGAATAAAAAAATGAAAACACACCCATTAAGTCAAACAATATATCAAAGTATTAAAGTTTGAAAATCAATATATATCAAATCAACCAAAACATTCAAACCCATATCAAATTTTGATTTTGACTTCAAATCTTACCTTGGTGGTGGCTGTTTGCTACTTTGCTTTGCTAGTGGGTTGTGATGGTGGCTGCCTAGCTGGTGGCTTGGATGGTGGCCGGTGCTTTCAAAATCTTACAATTGTACACAAGTGCTTTCCCATGCCTCGATCTCCTTATCAAATTTGAAAATACTCATGTTTAAATATTTGCATCAAACATTTGAGCAACATATATCAATTACAAAAACAAACAGTTAAAACGATGAATCCAATAAAGGAAAGGAAAAATCTTAAACAAGAAAAACAATCAAATAGCTCACACCTAAAGTGAAATAAACTCATTTATCGAAACCCTAAAATACAAATCCCAAAATCCTAAAAGACAATCATTCACAATTCTGTCAAGAACTTGCCCACTTAGCCAAATCAAACAAAAAGCATAAAAACTGAAACTCTCAAATTAAAAAGTCAACCCCAAAACCAAGCATTGCATGCAAACACGATTACCCATAAATCAAAGAAAAGAACCTTACATATCCCAAAAAGACAAAAACAAAAAACAAAACAAAACAAAACAAAAACAAAGGTCTCACAAAATCAACCAAACAGAATCCAAAAAACCTCATAACTCTCCAAAGAATCTCTCACATTCCAAGAAAGCAATCAATTTTATATGAAAAAGAATTAGCAAAGAAGTAAAAAATCAAGTTACTAACCAAATAAAGAACAAAACTTTAACTTTCCAATCAACAAGAATTATCTAAAACTAATCATATTCACTTTAAAAACAGAACAATCAATCACAATTAAAAAAAACAATCAATTAAAGTTCAAAAACAGCAAAACCCAGATGGATAATTTACCTTTTCTTCTTCTTCTTCTTCTCCTTCGAGAGAGAGAGAGAGGGAGGAAGGTCTACTTTATGCTAATGTAAGATATAGTGAGAGAGCGATCTCTCCTTAGAATCAATGATTGAATGATGAATTTGAGAGAGAGGAGACAATTTTTTTTTCTTTTTAATCTCATCAAGCAATTACGATTTTTTCAGTTTTGACAAAGGGTGAGAGAGTGAGCTTGGACTTGGAGGGTGGCATGTCTGAAACTGAGAGTGAGACAGAGAGAGAGTCAGGATTGAGGAAGGGGCTATTGGAGGTGAGCGGCGTCTCTGGATTCAGAAACTGAAACAGAGGGAAATTGATGGAATGTGTCTTGAGTTCAGGCGTTTCTAGTTTTTTCTTTATGTTTAACTGTTTAACATATACATGCATGTTTTTTTATAAAAAAAATTCGGGTTTTTTTGTTAAATTAAATTAAAAAAATTCAAAAATCAAACCCAACCCAACTTGAAAAATAAAAATAAATTTGATTTTAAAAAACAAAAATGAAAACCAAACTTAAATTTATATTTCGATTTAGTTTTTCAATTAAAACCGAATACTGGTTATCTATAAATTCTGATTACATTGTCATACCCAATAAGCAATGATCCAATTATTTTTGGTGCCAAGGTAAGCGTAAGCAAAAATACTATTTTGCTTTTTGTCGCAGTAGCCAATAAACAAGTTACTCAACATGCCTACAATTAAGGTGCATTGCTGTGCTTATCTTGTCTTTACTTTTCGGTTTTTTACAGTTATTCTTGTTCGTAAAAGAAATGGCCTTGCCAGAGGGGAAGGGCACCGTCCTTTGGCTGAATTTATGGCAGATTATTGGTACAAGGCACCAGCACAGCAGAAGAGAAAAACTTGCAAACAAATTATTATAAAATTGCAACTAATTCAGTATCCTTATCTTAGTGTGGATTGAATAAAAGAAGAATGGAAGTTTTATTTCAGTCCCAAATAAAACTTTCATCATAGCTCTTTAAAATATGTACCTTGCTAATCAAGTAACTATGACAAGCCTTATCATTGACCAACCGGCAACCGAGCCAAATGACTTTGAACAAACATGCTTGTTATTTTTTCAAGATAATGTTAAATTTACTAACCAAATTGTTATTTTTATCTTTTTTTTTCAACAATTACCAATACATACTCTCCTAATATTTGTTATATAATGATTATTAGTAATTAATGAAAGATATACCGGTAATTGTTTAGAACAAAATGGTAGAAATCAAAATCTAGTTGATGAATTTAGTAGCACCTTGTTTTTTATTGATCCAATATCAAAGTTCTTATAACTAAATACTTACGAGTTTAAATTTCATCATTTCTATTTTTTTAATTAAAATTAAATAATTAAACACAACATAGTAGTGAATTTGTATAAATTTCAAATCAAAGGATTTTTACTTAAAGAATTATGTTAAAAATAATATAAAATTATTTATGATACATTGCACAACGATTTAAACTTTTATATCAAAATAATTTTTTGACTCACCATT